CTCTCAGTAGCTCTTGTCCAGAACTGAGCCTCAGCATCACGTGCTGTGGGCAGGGTCAGAGGGCCAATGTCCTGGCCCCTGGGGAAGAGTTTCCTCTGGTGGGAGCTGGTAGAAGGTGTCCTGTCTTCTTGGCTGCATCTTCTGTAGTGGAGGTTACAATACATCATGCTGAGCTTGGATGTGGAAGGAAGGAAGAGCATCTTAGATCAAATACGATGACTGGACTTACTGAGTTTTATAGATTTTCTTGAATAAATATTTCTTCACTTACTTTATGCTGTTAGAGCCTTTCCAAACCCTGTAATTTTTCAAAAGTTTCAAAATAATTTTCACTGGTCTCATGGGGACATGGATTCATTGAGCCCCTCATGCTGTCAAAGAGAAATATAATTTTTTTTCACTTTGTAGAGAACATCCGTGGGTTATGAAATAATGAGTTGACTTTTCGTCCAACACTTTGCAGATACCATCAATTTTCCTGTTGCTTGTAAGGTTTAAATAGAAGAATGCTGTCGTCATCTTTTCTGTTCTTTGGGAAGGAATCCACCTCTACTCACCTCCACTTGCCTGCATGTATTTCTATTTCTCTTTTCTTTTAATCAGTTTTAATAAGATTTACCTAAATGTGTGTGCGAGTGGAGGGGGTGGGGGGCGGGAACAGAGCGTATTATTCTGCTGCTCTGTGTTCTCTGAGATGCACGGATTCACGGTTTACTCTGTCTCCATTTTGGGTACACAATTAGAAAAAATATATAAGTGTTAATCCAGAAACAAGTATCCCTGGAGGGGAACACGACCACCTGGGGGCGCTCAGGACCCACTGAGCACAAGAGCCAGACTCAGGGCAGGTGCAGATGGGGGTTAAGGTCTAGTTTCCTGTCAGCCCTGTGGCTTCCTCTCCATGAAACAGTTTCCTCTGGGGCACTTCTCTGGATTCCTTATCCTGTTCTTCCTGTGAAGTCTGTAAAGAAATATTTATCATAACAAGAGAAAAATTTTCTCACACGCACCAAAGGCAGACTCACCCAGTCACTTAACTCCTGTTTCTCAATGTCAGTAAGTTATCAAAGCTTCTGAATTTAGTCAGCTAAATCTAGAAAAGGTGTGGTGTTTAACTCAGCACTGCAGCCCAGGTCAACAGAACTTCAAGGGCCAGTGGGCAGCAGGCAGGATAAAGTGCATGCCGGGCACTGGGGCAGAGGGAGTTCCCATCCAGTGCAAGAGAAGAAAGGCCCCCTTGGTGGTCACTGTCAGGGCTCCAAGCCCACAGTTCCAATTGTAGGTGACCCTATGCCAAGGAAGAGAGACCCCACCAATGATTAGTGTGGGTGTCAAGTCTGACAGTGCCACACTCACACCTCAGGTGATCATGGAAAGATTTACCAACACTGTTATTGTCTGCTGAGAGCAGCACAGGCCTCTCAAGAGACTCCAAGCTGGAATTTCCTCAATGGAACAGGAAAGCAGGCTGGATCAGGGATTTAAAATGATTTGGTGGTGGTGTCGGGGGTGGGGTGGGGGCGTT